GATCTTCCTTATTCACTGTCCAGCTTTTGCATCCATATGAGGCTATTGAAAATACCATGGCTTGGGTCAGGCGCACTTTAGTCCTCAAGCTGACATCTCTGCTCTTCAATACTTTAAAAAGTTCCTGTGCAGCAGATTGTTAATAATTAATGAGGCAGAATTAGAGGCAGTTATGTTAATGAGACAAGGTGCAACCTACAGGATTAAGTTGTGTCTTACTATTTTTTGGATCTTAAAACATTTCAACATGCAGAGACAATGTGAGCCTTGATAACTATTGTTCTCACTCTTCCAGCACTTGTTGAGATCGCAGAGGCCAGTTAGTGTTAGCAGTGCCAAAGAGAGACAATAAAATATGTTCCTTGACCACAGGTACTTTAATGATTAATGCTTTATGGAAGTTCCTCCCTTTCAAACACCTCATTGGGTACATTTTTTTTTTTTTTTAATTGTGGTTTGTATGAAAGTTTACAGAGCGATTTTAGTGTTCCATTCAACAATGAATAAAAGTTAAGTTGCAATTACCTCAATGGTAATGGCACTCTTCCCATTTTCTCGCTGGGTTCCCGTTTCCATCTTTCCTTTCCTACCCTTCCTTGCCTTCTAAGCATTGATTTTGGGCAAACGCCTACCTTTTGGTTTCTCATGGTTGATTGTTCTGAGGTGTATGTTCCTCATGAGTGATAGGCCTCTTGTTTGACTGCAAATTGATCCCTTGTTGTTAAGTGCCATCGAGTGGATTCTAACCCATAGCGACCCTGTATAGGGTTTCTGAGGAGCAGCTGGTAAGCTTGAACTGCCAACCTTGCAGTTTAAACAACTTTGCAATCTGGTGCATTAACCCACAGTGCCACACCAGGACTCCAAATTGATCCCTGGGGGGGTGGTTAAGTTCCAGGTTTGAAGCGTGTGTAAGGGCCAGTCTCTGGGGTTCCACCAGTCTCTGTTAGACTAGCAAGTTTGGTCTTTCCTATGATTTTGAATTTTGTTCCACATTTTCCTTCCATTCCAGGACCTTTTGTGATCCCCATCAGAGTGATTAGTAATGATAGCCAGACCCTGTCTAGTTCTTCTGATCTTGGGGTAGTGGAAACTATGGTTTACTTGGTTCATTAGTCTTTTTGTAATTGTTTCCTAGGGTCTGATTTTCGTAACTCTTCTTTCTTCTGGATGGAGAGTTAAATCTTAGATGGCTGCTCCCTAGCTATTAAGACCCCAGTTGCTGCTTATCACTGGAGGATGTAAACATTGTCTCTATGAAATCTTAGTGACTTAGCTGTCCCAAAGACTCTGGTCCCAAGAGGATTGGGTTGTATGTTGAGTCAATCTTTTGAGAGATAAGAGATTAAAAAGCAAGCACTGACAACTGTGGGGGGTGGGTAGCGGGGGGCAGGCTTGTAGGATGTACCCTTTGGTTGGTTGATGATGCATGGAGGGGATTGTAACCATGGCAATGAAACGATATACGATAGGATGAATGTAAAAGTAATGTTCTCCCATGTAAACTATCACATAATTCACAATAAAATATTGAAAAAAAAAAAGCAAGCAGAGGTCAGAGGAACCTCTTACTACCAAGAAAGAAGAGCCAGGAGCTTAGCATGCCCTTTGGATGTAGGGTCCATACACTATGAACTTCTTAGACTCAGGGGAAGATAGATTACAAATATCTTCTCCTCAGAGCTAACCCAGAGAGAATGCCTTCCCCTAGAGCAGGCACCCTGAAGAATTTGGTCTTCTTGCTTAAATTGTGAGAAAATAAATTATTTGTTAAAGCTGTCCACTTGTGGTATGTGTTATAGCAACACACTAATTAATGAAGATAGCTACTCTATTAGTTGATTGCAGAATGCTTGTTTTTTTACTTGTGTGCCTACTTTTTAAGCGGGAAAGATATTATTGTCATTTCTGGAAAGATTGGCAACATTTTGCTCTGTAACATTCAGAGGAATGGGTGTTGATAACAGCCTTAGAGTTTTGAAGTTCAGAGTACAGTCTCTAATTCACCATCATAAGCATCACCTGGGAACTTGTTAGACCTACATATTGTCAGACCCCACTCCTCACCTATTGGGTCTTAAAGTGATCCAGGTGATTCTGGTGTACTCTGAAGTTTGAGAACCACTGACATAAAATTTTATCTATTCATGTACTTTTCATAAAGTAAGGTAAAAAGAAAATCTAAAGAAATCAAATCATGTTTATTTTGTATTGTTTTTCCAGGATCCTTATACTATTTATCCTGTGCAAATTGTTTTTCTGATTGTATCTTTACTAGACTTGGCCTGTTTTCACTTCTTTACACTTCAGTCTTTGTAGAGTGATTTTCTTGCCAAAATTCAAAGAAATTATTTTGTTGGCTGAAATCTTTGTTTTCATAGATCCATTGGTTTACAGCCAAGTTTCTGTAATAGCCTAGATTAATTTTCCTTCAACTTTTAAAATGTCTTGAAATTGGTTGAATCTAAAGAAAACTATAAGAATTTACCTTTATACTGTATTTTCTTGTCCTTTATTTTAGGTGTTTCCTCTCATGGAAATAACTTGATTTTGATGACTTCTAAAAAATATTTATCAATGTATTGCTGGGTTAACTAATTTAGTTGAATGAAAGGCTCAGAATGAAAGATCTTTAGGTATATGACAGCTTGGATTTAGGCGACTAGCAACACTTGAAA